ACTCGACACCCCGACTTACCGGCTCGCCCTCATACCCAAGGCTGAAGCGCCGTTGCAGACATCCCTGCCGTCGTGCCAGGATGAACGGCCGATAAAAATGGTACGCCTCGGCTTGGATGGTTGGATAGACCACCCTGCGACAAGGTAAGAAAGAAGAGCGCAACGGTTTCTTTGGGGCACGCCGCCTTCCCGCAATGCAGAGCGAATACACGAGGGTGGATCGGTGCATGGAAAGTACAGACTGTGCACTCGACAAACTGCACAAAGAACCCGCACGACTCTCCTCGAACCTCGCAACTGCCGGCTACACTCGGGAGCGCACAATTGAGAATGTAAAAGAGCGAGTTGACAGGGGTATACCGGTGTGATGTGAGCACACGGATGGAGTGTGGGATTGCTAGGTGCAAGAGGGAGCGCACGACTCTCGAACCACGGCTGGACGAGGGTATACTGATGCATTGAGGAAAAGCCGGCGCCACCGTGATCCAAGATGGGCTGAAACGGATCAAAAAGTCGAGACAGGTGCCTTTTGCCGCTCTCGGCGCCTCCGAAGAGCGACCACTCCGACTACAACTAGGCCCGCCAAGACCACCGATGCAGCCAGTGCACCAACGACAAACAACACCGCCGTCATCGGTACGTCTTGCAGCACATCCGCCAGCGCACCCCCGCTGCGACTGGGGTGAAGGTGAATCCCAGCCGAGCTTGCTCCCAGATCGTCGGAGGTGAGGCGGGCAATGTCGACTGCGCACACCGCCGCACAGTACGCCAGTGTTGGAACCGAAGCACAAGCCAGCCAGACGAAGAGTCTTGCGCGCATAGCTTGAAACGTGAGCATCTGCACCATCAGCAGGTCCAGCACGAGAAACATCCCCGCAGCCACCAGCGGGACTGCAGGGCTGAGCGAGTGCCATGGCCGTGCAGCCTCGAATGTGAAAAATACCGCCTGGTAGACAAGCATCACTGCTTGCACAGTGTNCCCCGCAGCCACCAGCGGGACTGCAGGGCTGAGCGAGTGCCATGGCCGTGCAGCCTCGAATGTGAAAAATACCGCCTGGTAGACAAGCATCACTGCTTGCACAGTGTAGCTGCACCAGCGGGTGTGGTGAAAGTTGCCCACCCGACTGCGTTTGGTCACAGCCACTTCGGAGCTGGGTGTGCTGGCTTCCGGTATTTCTGGCACGTCGAGCACATGTTCGCCGAGTGAAGAGCGAGGGAGCTGGTCCAGCTGCACACTCAGGTGGCGTCGCCGAATCGAAGACTGCCGCGGAAGGATCAGCGGTCCGGCCACAGTGGCACTGCGATGATGGAGAACGCTGCGCGGCTCGTTGCGATCGTGAGTGATGCCTGCAGGGGCTGCAGAGCTCAATGCGTTCCAATCACTGATTTGCGCGGCAGGGAGGCTCGAATTACCTTGGAGCTCGAGTAACAGTCGACTAACCGCTCCTGGGGGTCCTGCGATCCGATTCTCCCGTGCATAGCTGATCCCTGGTTGCACTCTAGGACGGTCTGCGTCGGTGCGCTCGGCCATATCCGGATAGACGTACTCGCCAGGCCTCACTCCGACGCTCGGTGCAGGCGCGACCATCCCCAGCCCAACGCGACTGCCATTCGCCTCTGTCTGAGCAACGTGCGCATCGACATCATCCAAAAACGCCCTTCGATCGCCGTCGAGCGTGCTCCAGACAAAGTGCGATTCGCCCTTGAGTGGCGTTTGCAGTGGTGACAATGCCGGCGTCCCATCGTCTCTGTTCAAACGACGAAGGTTGATCGAGCCTACTGTGTCGCGTGAGGATCCGGCTCCGCCTCGACTCATTGTGAGCGCCTGGCTGAGCGGTCGGAAGATCTCTTCGGATCGCCGCGTACTAGCTGTATCCGTGGTGGCTACCTGCCACGGAACGAGCTCGATCGTCTCGCTCGAGCGCGTCTCGCCCGAGCCAGACGAGCGTCGCGGTGAGAGCGAGACAGCACGCAAACGTGCCTCGCTTCCAACGTCGACAGACCCCCTACGGGCGTGCACGGCCGAAGCAAGCCCAATGCGGCTGGACGTCACCGCCGTCGAATGGGGATGAGAAGCTGCCGAGGGCGGATGGATGCGCTTGAGCGTCTCGTCGGGATGATCCGAGGTCGCCGACGGGATTGGAGACATCGCAGAGGGTACACCTTGAACAGCTCCAGAACATCGACCTGAAGCAGGCTCGTCGTTCTTCTTATCGTGGAGGTCAAGACGTTGGTAAGTTGAAGCAGCGTGCCAGCTTCTCGGATCCGTGCCAGCGATGAAGGTCCCACAGGCTGTGGTGTCGTGTCCCTGCGCTGCTCGATGCTGCGATTTGGTGGCGCCTTCATTTGTGGCGGCTCTCTGTGAGCTTTGCTCCAGGCGTGACCACGAGGATCGTGGGGATGTGGCTGGCTCCAGCCTCGTGAGAGCTCTTGCCCCAAACCTCGGTGACTGTGGAGAATGTGAGGGGCCAAACGTTAAGAGCGAGGATGAACTCGGGGCAGATTGAGCAGAGTGACGGCGAGTCTGGACAGTGGGATCTGCCGCACGAGGCAAGCCGATCAGCAGGAGCTGTTTCGGCCTGAAGGTCGGAGTTGAAGCCGACGCACCCGCCTCGATATGACTGGACGAGGCTCTCGACGTCGAGCGACTGAGGGCGTAGGATGGAGATCTGCGTGCCCAACTGCCGTCAGGACTACCCTGATTGGTTGCCGAGAGGCTTGAGAGGCTCGACAGACGCGAGTGCTCGAGGCCGAACACGCTCGTTTCCGCCATCGACGTGTCCTGGCATGCTGCTTCGATGATGGTGTCCAGCGCTCGAGATTCAGGCCTCGAGGCGGTTGGGGTATGGGTGCGGGTGCTAGCAGCACTGCTGTCGGGAATCGCGTCGACCGGTGATCTCGATGCGAACGGAGTGTCGAGTAGGCTCGGTGACGCTGAAGCGTGCGGAAAGGGGCCGTTGACAGATGGACTGCGAGTAAGCGAACGCGGCGAGTCGATGGCATCGAAGGGGTGCATGTCACGCTGGCCCGCGTGAGCTGAAAAGGGGGCAGAGCAGGTCCACGGCGAGAACGTCGCTACCATGGGGCCGGACAGGCGCATGTGGGTGCGAGTCGTGAGGTACTCGTTGGATCGCACTCGTCTGGGCGAATGCTGTTGGCACTGCTGGTGGGAAGATGTGTGATGTTGTCGAGGAGAGGGCGGGTCTCTCAGATACGCGGGAAATGCGGATGAAAGCAGGGAAGCTGTGACGGCTGTGTGGTCACTTGCCGGATCGCGGCCAGGTGGCGCAGCATCGCCTTCACTCGTTCGGTGCGAAGCCGACGACCAGGACTGGGAGCGAGGATTTGAAGACGAAGCGCGTTTGTCCTGATCTGGAGACGGCCACGAACGGATCCGCACCGAAGCCTGACCGCGCTGGGAGCTAGGGACTGATGCCGACGCGGGAATCGTCGAGACGATGGGCGTATGCGAGCTGGCTGGACGGTCGAGAGCCGAAGAGGGGGATCGCAAGCCATCGGAGAGCGCAGCCGACCACGACGGCGATCTCCGATACGTGACCGAGGACGGGCGAGAGATGGTGTTGAGGGCGCGCCGATGGGTTGAACAGCCTCGGGGCTAGCGGCTGTGGCACGGGCAAGGTTGTGATGCTGCGAAGCATGGTCGAGCACTGCGTTACGCCGCAATGCTCGATCGCGCCTGTTCAAAGGAGTGCAGACGAAGGCAGGTGACAAGAAGAGAGCGTAGAGGATGGGCACGGCATGGCTTGAGCGTTATTGACGATGGAGGCGAGAGTGTGAAGCCGCGATCGTGTTTTGCAATTCGAAAAGCATGGGCTGGGCCTATGACGATTGTGGGAGCATTGCATGCATTCGAGGGAGGAGATGAATCTGCCGCAGCGGCAAGTGGGGATTGGGATGAAGAATGGCGGTTGCGAGGAATGAAGCAAAGAGGACGGCTGTTCATGGCAAAGTCAGTCAAGAAATGGCAGACATGAAAGCGACGGTCCGGAACGTGACAGCGATGCGCCAAGGCATTGAAGCCTTCTGAACTGGCAAGAAACAGGCTACACCTGCGGCAGAGCCAGAAAGTAGGCATGTCGAAAGGAGGACGAGAGGAATGGCGGGTTTGCGGCTCTGCGCGGCTTCAAACCATAGCGCAGGCGCAAGCGAAGGCGCAGCCGATGCAGCCGCTGGTCGATCGGTATGTTCCTGAGTGGTGAGTGCGATCTTGTCACACCCGAAGCGTGAAAGAGCGGCCGAGTTGTGATGCCCGAGATGATGAAGTTTCGATGGGGAGCTGCTGAAAGCCGAACCTCAGCCGGCTTCGGGCCGTGCTCTGGAGACCACTGCGGCCAAGTAGCGGCAAGTCGTGGGAAAGACGGGCATGAAGAGCGCCTGCATGAGCTCACCATGCTGTCACGGTACCGCAACCGCACTCTCGATTCAATGCAGCTCTGCTTAGCTCGACTGGGACTGTTTCGAAGCACACAACCAAGGCTTGCGCCACCGCACACGACGCCACCGTTCTGCGCTTTCTGATGCGCGGTAAATGAACGGACTGCGCGCCGTGATCATAGTGTTGCGGGCCGAAAAGTGGCACTTTCCGACACGAGCAGGTATGCAGGGTGGTGCAAGCGAGTCGTCGCAGAAAATCTCTGCCCGCCATCTGTGCAGCAAACGTGCAGCTCCGATTGGCGCCCAAGCATCCCACCTGCACAGCATTCGTTTCACACCGCCTCTCTGCCGAGCTCCCCCGCTTACATCAACCACCACTTTATGCCGCTGCAAACAAATCCCACCTCGGCTGACCAGGCGCTTGCAAACCAGAGCGATCCACACGACCACCACCATCGCAATCAAAACCGACGCTAAACAGACGAGCAAGATGTTCTGGAAAGGATTAGAGCTATTCCCAATGTAAAAATTATACAAGCCACCATCCGTCCTGGTGGGGAGAGCATGGAGCTGGACGAAAATCAGAAGCGAGGCTGTGGCCTCTGTCATGTCTGCTGAACCGCCGGCGCGGCGACGGGCTCTTCCTTTTGCGAAGCGGTCTCTGCCACCTGCGGGTTGCTGCGCGCGGCGGTGTCCTGATCGCTCTCGTTGGTCTGTGAGCTGAGCGAGCTGTCGTGAACGGTATGCGCCACCTTCTCGTGCATGTCGAGCGTCTGACCATGGTTGGGCTGGTAGTTGCCCTCGAGGTCGCGGTTGATAAAGGCGTAGTCGTACGCCCACTCGCCACACTGGTCTTCGTCCATACCCACCACCTCGCCGAGCTCCGACGCGCGGAAGGGCCCGATGAAGGGCGTGTGGTCGAGCACAAACATGATGGCAAACGTCACACCGCCGCACCACGCCGTGACAGCAACGCAGTACGCCAGCTGGTAGGCAAGCTGGATCCAGTGGCCGTCGAGCCATCCACCGGGGATGACGAGGATGCCGTCGTTGTTCGCCACCGACGCTTGCGCGAAGATGCCGGTGAGCAGCGTGCCGACGTAGCCAGCGAGGGCGTGGACGGAGAAGATGTCCATCACATCGTCGACGCGCATGGGGCCCTTGAGCACGGTGGCAAAGTTGGACACGGCGGCGGAAACGACGCCGATGAGCACCGAGGCGGGCAGACCGACAAAGCCGGCAGCCGGGGTGATGGCGACCAGACCGGCAATCGCACCTGTGCAGAATCCGACGACGGACCACTTGCGCTCCAGACGGAAGTCGAGGAACATCCAGGTGAGACCGGCGGTAGAGGCGGCGAGGTTGGTGGTGCTGATGGCCATGGCGGCGCGGATGTTGGCGGCAAAGGTGGAGCCGCCGTTGAAGCCGATCCATCCGACCCAGAGGAAGACGGTGCCGAGCACAATGTGCGAGACGTTGTGCGGCTTGAACAGCAGACGCTCTGTGCCGTATCCGTGGCGTGGGCCGAGGTAGTAGGAAATGACGAGTCCGGTGATTCCCGAGTTGATCTCGACGGGTCCACCGCCGGCGTAGTCGAGGACGCCCCACTTGAATGCCCAACCCGTCGGATTCCAGACCCAGCAGGCAATCACGTCGTACACGAGCGTGGTCCAGACGAATGTGAATACGAGGAACGGCCAGACACGGCCGCGCTCACATGCAGCGCCGATGGCAATGGCCGGCACGAGGTTGGCAAACATGCATTGGTAGATCGAGTAGACGATCTCGGGCACCTTGTTGTTGGCCTGGGGCACGGGATTTTCGAGCACGCCCATGTGGCCAAAGTTGCGCAGATTGCCGAGGAACGCGCCCGAGGTCTGGGAGAAGGTGAGCGAGTAGCCCCAGAAGAACCACTGGAACGAGACGACGGCGAGGGCGGCGAGCGTGAGGAGCAGCAGGTGCAGCGCGTTCTTTCTGCGCGCCAGACCCGAGTAGAGGTAGCCGAGACCGGGGATCATGATCCACACGAGCGCCGTGCTGGTGAGCACCCACGAGATGTCACCGGGCGAGTACGAAACGACGCTCGAGCCGTCGGCACCGTACGTGACGATAATGTCGGTGCCGTTGGGTGCAAAGTTGGACGAGCCCGACGTGGAGCCGTCGGGCGCCGAGAGCACGCCGTATGTGATGTTGACCATGGTTGGCGGTTCCTCGAAGGGGAGAGGGGATCGCGCGGGTCGAACGGGTGGATGATGGAGGGAGGGAGGGAGGTAGAGGAGGTAAGGTGGAAGGGATCCGCGCGAAGGAGCGTGGACAAGGGGAGGTCCACTTATAAAGCAGGGCAGGCTTGCCTTGACTCGACGCCGGAGCCCAGCGCGATCCATTCACATTCTCGACGGAGGAGCGGGCGTCGACGGCCAAAAGATTCACCGTTTGCAAGACGCTGTTCCCCCGCTGCGAGATAGCAGATGCGCCTCGAATGGGAGCGGAGCGGGATCTCGTTGGCTCTCTCGGTCGGTGCGAAAGAGTGGATCAGCATTTCGGCTTGGTCGCGGGAGCTTGTGCTGCGTTGGAGATGCGCTGCGCTGCGCTGCCGCCCAATGCAGGCGATGTGGAACCGTAGGCGAACTTTTGCCAAATTGCAAACTGCCCAAACCTTTGCGCCAACGCGAGCCGAGTTTTTCAGGCAATCCGACGCACAGTCAGTCGCGACAGTGTCCTTTTTTTGGGAGCAAGCAAGCAACAACAACAACCTCGGAGGCCGATGCGGGAAAAAAAAAGAAGAAATCGCTGCCAAGGCCGCACGTACACCGCTTTCAACCTGCCCACCAGCTCCAGGCGCGGGGCTGGAGGATGTCGCTGCGGGGAGATCATGGTTATCTCTGATGCCATGGATTGCCAAGCCTTTGCAGCCAATCGCATTCGCTCATCTCGGCTCGCTTTCAACCACAGATCCATTCCAAGCTTCACCGGGCGCGCGACCTTGGCAGCTTCTCACGGGCTCCGGGGGGGTCCAAGGAAGCCCGAGTGTTCCGGGCAATCCTCTGGTCTTGGCAGCTTTTTCTTATCTACGAGCCGAACTCGTGGAGTCGCAGCGAGCGGTGACTCGTTCCTTTTTTCAGGTTCCTACCAATGCGCTTCCGTCACCCGGCTCGCTTCTTCGAATGTACGAAGACTCTTCAATCTCACCAGCCTCGTCGCACTACTTGTGTGGGCTGATGTTGCATTGGAAGGATCCGGAGCGGTCAGGGGGTTCCGGGGGGTCTGGGGCGAGAGGGAGTGAGCGGGGATGAGGTGCGTCAACATAAGCGGGATGCTTATCTCGTAGCCGTACGCGGGTGTCGACGCACCTGCATCTGGGCCTTCTTCATGCGGACCGACAAAAATGTCCGCGTTGAGTGATAAGCTCGCGCGCATCAGCCAATCACACGCCGCCATTCTTATCTGCCTCCGCCCCGACTCCGCCTCAACCCCTCTGCTGCCAACCTATCCCGGCTTTGGCAAGGCTAGCATGTCCGCCAAGGATCGTCGACCCCACCCCCTCCCCCCGCGGGGCACTGACACTCGCCGTCTTGGCATCTCCCCATAAGATCGGGAAAAGGCCTTGATGCATGGTTGTTGAAAGGTGAGATTGACAGGGTTTGGCAGCAAAAGTGGGGGCGAAAGGGTGAAAAAGGCGGAGGGCGAGGGCAGATGGGCGATGTCACTTTTGTCGTACGAGAGAAATGAAGCCGCCGGTCCAGATAAGCGACCGTCCAGCTGTCACTCTTGATCCTCAGACCCACAATCCCCCCAAAGCTGCCCGGCCATACAAGCAGCTCCTGCCATCCAAAGAGTGCGGTAGATCCAGCTGTGCGAGACATACGAGGGCGATGGACATGTGCAGACAGAACCCCACAGGGCAAAAAGGAAAAGAGCGGCATGTGTCTGTCATTCATGCATCTGCCAAACTGACATCATCCAACCCACGAGCGGCGTGCATCGCAAAGCTCGCCAACTATAGTTTGAGATCCGGGGGGAAAAAGATGTTTTGGAAGAGGCGAGTGGGGGGTAATGTCTACGCAAAGTCTCCGAACGTCCAGCATGAAAGGGCATGGATGTGGGTAGCCCAACTGCGTTGCACGGCGCAGAAGCGGATGTGGAGCTGCTTATCGAGTGCCGATGCCGGGAGGCCACGATGTCTGATAGGAGAATTACCACCCGGGCGCATGACGCTTCTCCGTCGCACCTCTCCGGCCGCATCAGCGCGGGGTAGGACAGATAAGCCTGCCCTTCCATTACCGCCTGCTCGACTAAACAAAAGCATGTGGCTGTCCATCTGTGCGCCCGTCGCTTGGTGGCATCCGGCTGTCTATCGACGCGCTTTCCTGGGGGACGCCGCTCTATTGCCGTTTTGACGGGCTTTGGACGCCAAGCCTTGTCGGGCAGCGTCAACTTGATCTGCAACACGCATTGCGCGCTCTAGCCTCTCCTTGAGCTCGCCCAGCATGGCTTCTGCCTTGGCTAGGCTGCCCACGTGATGCGTGGGTACCGCCTCGCGCGCCGCCTTTTGCTGCTTGACCGCACGCTCGTCGCCGCTCTCCAGGATGAACTCGTCCTGCATCAGCTCGAGATCATCGGCTAGCGACTGGCACACCAGCTCGATCCCCTCGAGCACCTTTTTCGGAGGCACCACATCCACCAACGCTTCCACTTGGGCCGAGGACAGTATTCGCTCCCTGTCCTCATCCGTCTCGTCGCGGTCCATGCCCGAGAGCCGCCGGTTCCAGCCCGAGGCGACGTACCAGCTAAGCCGCTTGAGATGCGGGAAGCGAAACTTCTTGGGAACCTTGGTTGCGTCTTCGATGCCAACGAGTTTCCACTGGGTGGCGACGTTCCAGTCGGTGAGAAAGTTGCCGCCGACGACGAGCGTGTTCTGGGGCGTGTAGACGCAGTGGAGCCATCCGGAGGGGATGAGCATGGTCTCGCCCGGCCGAATGTCGACGCGCGTGAGGCCGTGCAGATGGTCGCCGAGCCAGTCAAAGTCCTGCCGCGTGCTGCTGCACCACGACTTGTACGCCGCCAGATTGCGCGGCGTGGGCGGCGCAAACAGGAACGTCTTTTGACCCCAGATGACGTGGTAGTAGACGCTGCTGCCGGCAAAGTCAATGTGCCAGTCCGAATAGGCGCCCTCGACACCCATGAGCACGTAGCGCTGGACTTTGGGCCAGCTGTTGTCTGCACACGTCGCATCGCGCCGCTCGCTGGGCCAGTCGCGCGTAACCCAGTCCAGGTCGCGCACGAGCTGCGGCGCCTCGACGTACGCCTGCAAAGGTGTTCCCGTCACTTCGAGCGAGATAACGTTGAGCGTCTTCTTCTTTTTGTGCTTGGGCATCGCAAAGTACTCGGCCCACTCCGAGATGGTCCAGGACGCTTTGCTCGACGACTGCGACGCAACGTCAATCACCTCGACCGGCGTATCGTGCCCGATCAGATCCGCAATGTCGCCAATTGTCATTTCCGCAGGCGGCACCACCATGCCGGGAATCGAGGTGGGCCTGGGCACCAGCCGTGCGCCGCCCTTTTTCTTGCCCTTTGCATCGTCATTCTCGCGCTTGACCGGCGTGGAGGCGGGAGTTTCGGATGCTGGAACGAGCACCGGTTGTCGCAAGGCATGCTCGTCATGCAAGAGCCAGTCGAGCGTCCACTCGTGACCCTGCATGCGCGGGAAGCGGTCGGGTTCAAAGTCGTAGGTGTCGAGAAAGTTGCGCCATCTACCCAGCGGGTCGGCAGGGATGCCGTCCTGGATTGCAGCATAGTCGACCTCGAGCTTGGCGCGATGCGACTTGCGGCGCGGCGGGCGCGCGACGTTGGCAAGGGGTGGGCGGGAGGTGCTGGTGCCCGAGTTGAACGCCTGCTGGGACCGAGTGATGCACGGCTGGCAGTACCACTTGCTGTAGTCGTCCGGATTCTCGAGGCCGATGCAGATGCAGTGGAACCAGGTCTTGCACTGCGTGCAGCAGATCCACGTCTCGCGGTCCGAGGCGGCGTCCTTGCCCGGCGTGGGTGCAGGCTCTCCCGGCGCCGGACACGCCGCACATTCGAGCTCGGACTCGTCTACGGGCTGAGCACGCGGCTTCTTCTGCTTGGGCTGTGCCGGCGTGCTTGTACTGGCTGATGCGTCTGCGCGGGTCGGAGACTGGGCCCTCTTGCGCGGACTTGTGCGGAGCGAACGAGGCGCCACCTCGCCATTGAGCGGCGGGGCAGTCGCTGCAATTGTCATGGTGTACCCGCCTCTCTGTAAAGAGAGAGATCGCGCAGTCTGTGTAGGTAGGCGGTGGGATGGTTGAGGCTGTCGAGGCGTGTCGAGATGATGGATGAAGTCCGAGAAGAAGCAGCCCCTGCAGGGCCATGCGGGACACTTTTTCAGTGTGGCACTCGACTCGACTCGCGCGCTTCGGAAGCCGGGTGTCACGAGACCACACGAGTCCACCAGCCGACGGCGCAGCGGAAGATCGCCCGCTGCCCTGCCTCAAACGGCAGTTCAGTCAAAATCGCCGGAACATGGCCCAGCAGAACCCTGCATTCCCCTCCCTCCGCTGCGCCGCAAAAACATCAGAAAACGAAATATGAGCAATGTTAGCCCGTCGTATCATACAAACATTTGAAAAAAAGCACATTTTTCACACACACACAGCGTCTGGAACCGGTGACGTCGTGGCGTCTTTTTGGCTTTTTGGGCTTCCAACGAGGCGTGACTTTGGGTGCTGAGTCGCAGGCGGTGAAGACGCGCGGACCACACTCCGAATCCAGAATCCAGCTGGGAGCAAAGGAACAACACTCGAAGCGGAAAGAGTGAGCGAGCTTGGCCCCTCGACGCGGACCGGCTTGGCTCTGCACCTCCATCTCGTCGTCTCCTGCCATCCACCACTTCGCCAGCGTCGTCCCCTTGGGTCCCACAACCATGGCAGCGCGCAACGCAGACAAGCCCAGGACAAGCGGGCGCGCGTCCATCCCCACGCCGCCCGTCAAGTTTGCCCTCGACGACCGGTATTCGCAAGGAAAGCGTGCCGTCGTCACTAAGCCCAGGCCCAAGTCCAAGCGCTCCGGTGGTTTCTCCGGCTGGCTCTTCTGGTTCGGCACTCGCGTCACCATCTTCTACCTCATCTATGCCGCGCTCTGGACCTGCCCTTCGCGCCCGTTTGCATTCGACTACTCGGCCAATGATCCACGACCCGTCTGCCGCAACTTGGCCCAGGCTCATGACCAACTCGTTCCCATCGTCAAACCGTACTGGAACCTCGCCCAGCAAAAGGTGCAGCCGTACACTGACCCGGTCGTGCGCGCCGTCGCTCCGTGGGCCACACGCCTCCACAAGGTCTCCCGCCCCGTCTACCGCGAGGCCAACAAGCGCGGACGCCTCATCTGGAAGAAGCGCATCGACCCCGCGCGTCGACGCGCCATCAAGGACATCAACAAGCGCATCGATCCCTACGTCCAGCAGGCTCGTACCTACCACAAGAAGAACGTCCAGCCGCGCATCGACACCGTCCACAGGGCCGTCAAGCCGTATCACGACATCTATCAGCGCGACGTCTCGCCCTATGTCGACCGTGCGTACCAGTACAGCCTGCACTCGTCGTCCGTCTCGTATGCCTTCTACATGGACAAGGTCCACCCCCGTGTGGTCACGGGCCTCAAGCAAATCTACAGCTTTCTCGTCAACCACGTCGACCCCGCCATCCGCAGGTTCTACAGCCTCTACGTCCGCCCGCTGCTCGAGCGCCTGCTCGCAAAGGTCTACGAGCGCAAGGCACACTACCTCGGCTCCGACGCCATCAAGACCGCACAGAAGGACATGAAGCACGCCTCCCACGAGGCGGACAAGCATGCCCAGCAGGCCGTCCGCAAGGCGGAGCAGGAGGCCATCAAGGCGCAGAACGACCCGTCGCTGCTCGACCGCGCCAAGCAGGCCAAGGACGCCGTCGTTGGTGGCAACACTCATGGCGAGACCGACCCCGTCAAAGTCGCCCAGCTCGACGCCGAGCTCGACGCCGAAGAGGACAAGGTCAAGGAGCTGCTCGAGGTGTGGGAGACGCGCATGTCCGACCTCATCGAAAAGGAGTACAAGCTCGCCGTCGACCGCATCGCCGATCTGCGCAACCGACGCCTGGCGGACCTGCCCGACCGCTTCGGCCTGGTCAACGAGGCCTTCGTCGAGGATACCGTCGCGCTCCTCCTCAACCGTGTCGAGCGCGGCGCGCGCAAGATCTCCAACAGCTCCGGCGACGTGGCCAGCAAGGTCGAGGCGGGCAACAGGCTCGTCGACCAGCAGCTCACGCGCTTCGACGAGGCGGCCCAGGACACCAAGTCGCAGATCGCCGCGTTCTACGAGGAGCTGTTGCAGCAGGAGACGCAGGCCATCGACACGAGCAGCGCCGAAGTGCGCCGCTTCGCCGTTGCGGCCAAGGAGGCGTACGACGCGATCATGCGCGACGCCAAGTTCGCCGTCACCATGGACGAGTGGCAGGGCTGGGACGTGGGTGTGCGCAAGCGTGCCACGCTCTTTGCCGAAGAGCTCGCGGCGGTGCAGCGCGGCACGAAGCGCGTCAGCACCGCCTCGGGCGCGGTGGATCTGAGCAAGGAGGCGCCCGACGTGCAGAAGGAGATCAACGCACTCCGCGCCTGGACCGATAAGCTGCACGGTGCGGCGCGCAGGGAGCTGGTGGCGTACGGCGACTCGGCACTGGCGCAGCTCGCGGGCGGCGGTGTGGTGGCCAAGATCTCGGACGTCACCGACAGGCTGGCGGAGCAGGCGAGTCGCATCAGCACCGATGCGGCCGCGGGCATGGTCGGCGCCGTCGGCGCAGCGCGTGCCAAGCTCGGGCTGGGTGAGCCCGCCGCGGATGGATACGTGGCGCGCGCCAAGGCGTACGTCGCTGCGGGCAAGGGCTCCGGCTCGTCGTTCGACGACTACGTTAGCAGCCTCAGTGCGGGCGCGGGCGCGGTGGCTAGCTCGGCATCGTCGCTCGCAAGCCAGGCGAGCAGCAGCGTGGCTTCAGCCGTGGGCACGCCGTCTCCGGCGTCGGCGTACGAGGTGGCTTCGTCGGCGGTTGTGGGTGCTGCGAACGGTGCAGCCTCCAATGCCCGGGCTGCGGCTTCGTCGGCATCGGGCGCGGTGGGCGG